AAATGCATATCTTTCTTAAGCAGCTCATTTGAGCTGCAGATGCCACAGTTCACATATTTCAATGTTTTTCTGACTAAAAAAAAATCTCAGACTATAATTTTCCTTGTAGTTAGTTCATATACAGTGTGGTGGCATGCCATACTGGCACTCTTCATGGCATCAGGCAGGTACTGGTATGCCTCTGCAGGGGAGAAGATATCATTTATTTTGGCTGGTGCTAAAATTTTATTAGACTCCACACAAAGTTGTGCCACTTAGAACTAGTTTCAAAGCTTGTCTGATGATGACAGTGTTGATCTCAGACTAAGTTGTCATGAGACCTCTGTGTATCTCACTTTATGGGTAATTCATTAAAGTAAAGTAGGTTAAGCCACCATCTGACCAAACAGGCTCCTACTTCATCACACAAGCTAATAAGAAATTTCTGTGTGTCATAGTTGCTGGCTTTCCTTCCAAGTCAGCTCCAGACTCACTTAATTAGGGAAAAGAAGCTGATGTCGTGACTGGTGATGGGAGAGAGGTGTTACCACAGGGAGAGAGGGCAGAGAGAAGGTTTGGTGTTTGGTTTTGGGTGGGATTTTTTTGGTTTGTTTCTTTGTTCGTTTCTTTGTTGTTTTTAAAGCAAAGCCCTGGAGCAAGGAAATGAAGAGTCTTACAAGGGGTGAGACACCCTGCTGAGCTCCCCCTGTTCATCCACAACTTAACCAGCAGAAACCCTCTAAATCAGGTATTTCTGGTTTAGATGGGGGATGTGCAGGTGCTGCCTTCTCTCTGCAGTAGGAAGGGCAAGGCTCGTGGCTAAATTCATTCCAGGTAGTTCAGATTATTTATTTGGAAAAAAAAGCTACTTGCTGTTACTCAGACTGAGCCTTACCCGACATGAACGCAACAGCTTCTCAGTCTGTCTTCCACTGCACAGTAAAGGCAGTGCTGTGGCATCCTTTTATTGTGGTTTAAGTGTGCACAGGCCCTCCTGTATGCAGGAGGGCAGCAGGGAGAATTTCTGCTGAAATGCGTTTAAGCTGAAAGTCTCCCATGCATTCCCTCTGTGGCTGTGTTTCCCAAAGCACATGCACTGTTTTTTTAAAAAAAGCTTTTTTATGATTAAAAAAAAATATTCTTTGCAAATGAGCTGCTGTGACTACCAAATAGTATGCTTTGTTCAGGCTACAGCTTCAAAGCAGCAACATTGATTCAATGATAAAGTGTTAAAATGGGCAGCCTGTCAGGCAGGGCAGCTGGTGCGGATGCCTTTGTGTGTCAGGGTGTGCCTTTTGTTTTGTTGCTCTTGAAAGGCCTAAGTAAGGAATAGCAGCGGGTGCACCTGCATAGCTTCTACCTCATGATAGGGACTGCTTTTCTGATGAAAATAGAGCATCTTCAGATGAAGTAAGATCTATCGTGCTGAGAAAGGGTAGCAGGCTCCTGCCAGTGTTAATGTCAAAACATCTTTGTGCATGAATTAAAATGTATGCTGTGAGAACCATCACGTATTTTCTCAAATTCGTGGCCTTTTCTCTCTGAACTCAATAACCGTGTTTGCTTATGTAAAAATAAAAATAGTTCCAAAGTTTGTACTGAAGTTGTAATTGTGTCTGAAAGTGAGGATTCTCACCACAGCATTTTCTGACAGTGACGTTTTCATTCTGCTGACATCAGCACAGCTGAGCTCAGCAGCCTGAATTCCATCCAGAGGCCCCCAAAAATAAGGGAACTAACAGGTATGCAAAGATGAATAAATACGAAAATATTGCCAGATGCAGATTGCTGCCATAATGTCTGGGTGAGCTTATTGACTGCTGGCCAAGTCTGTCAACACAGCCCCAGCTTCAGCTGGCATCACAGTCTGCCTGCTCTATATTGAACACCTACCTGTAAGACCAGCTCATTTTTTTTCCTAGATTTGGCCTGAGTTTAGATATGAGTAATTAAGTTTGCAACTCTAGTTAGTTCAGCATTCAGAGAATGCCAGTTTGAACTGTGTCTTGAACTATTTTTTCTAGAACTTCTAGGAGAAAAATTAAGAAAAAAATGTGGGGTTTTTTGTCAAATAATTCAGGTAAAATAAATTTTCTTTAGTTGGTTAGGTTTTGTGTGGTTTTGTTTGTTTGTTTTTTGTAAAGCAAAAATTAAAAAAGGGCAAAAGCCATAGGCTTTAAAACTTCCAGGTTAATTTATGACTTGACTGTCATTATGGTTGTGATTATTTCCTACTCAGTGTATGGTGTGATCACCCAAGCTAGCAAAGAAGGAAGCCCCCACCGAGCAGATTCCTCACTCCCCCACAGTGGTATGGGGGAGAGACTCAAAAGAACAAAAGCAAGAAAACTTGCGGGTCAAGATAAAACAGCTTGAAAAGTGAGTGGAAGGAGTGGAGGGAGGCAAATTGATGCAAAGACAGTCACTCCTCACCTCCCAGAAGCAGAACAATGCCCAGTCAGCCTCCAAATAGAAGCTACTTTGGAAAGATCCCCAGTTTTCTTGCTGAGCCTGGCATTACGTGGCATGCAGTGCCCCTCTGGTCAGTGTGAGTTAGAGTCCTGGCTGCGTTTCCGCCCCTCTTGCCCACCTCAGCTTCCTGGGGACAGAGTGAGGAACAGAAAGCCTTGACACCCAGCAAGCACTGTTCAGCAATTAAGTCCATCCCAGCCAGACCCAGCACACAATACTTCAAATAGCATTTCCTTTTTATTTTGTTTTTCTTTTTTTTTTTTTCCTGAGCAACACCAGCTTAAAATGAAAGTGAAAAAAAGAAATAAGGAGAATTTCCTTTCTTCCATTAAAAATATTAGTACTACAATAGGAAGAAGGAAAGCTTTTTCTTTTTTTTTCTTTTAGTCCTCATACAGCAAGTGATTATTCAGAAAGGTAAGAGGTGGAAAAACGACAAATACTGACGATCAGTCTTTAAGACCAGAGTAGACATTGCCTTAGCTAAGCCATGTAGAATTTCCTGACATTATTCCTGATACGATTATGAAGATGATGGGGGTGTTTTTCTTGTTTTGGAAGGCCTACTTTTGAATTAGTATTCCTAAAACAAGAAATGTACTTAGGCAAGTATATGTGTATGTACACAAGCATGTACTTGTGCATTGAGATCTGACATGTCAATTTCTTCACCTTCCAGTGCCTTCTAGGATTTCTGGTTTAATTTAGAAATAGAACAAAAAACAACATAAACCCCCAAACCAACCAACAAAAACCAAAAAAACCCAAAAGCCACAAAACCCCACAAAACTTACCCTCACTTAAAAAAAGAAATTGGAACATTAACTAATTTTAGCTTGCTCATCACTTTACATCATGTGTCTGAAATTTTGTTGTTTCTGTTGCTTCTCAAGTGGCTGCAAGAGTAGCAAGTCTTGCATGCTAGGCAGTTCCTCATCTGAGAGAGGGAAAGACTTTTCTTTTAAGATTTTCATGCAGTACACTCTTT